TAAATACTGACAGAGTCTATAAGGTACGCTTTTTTCAAACTTGATCAATTTCAAATAACTGACGAACGAAAGTAGATATCAAGATGCGATTTTCTCTATGACATAGAAGAAACTTCAGTGAATGCACTTATATGAGAAATAGAGCTGTAATGGGGTCAGTCAGATAGAACCCCTGATAGACTTTTAGGATAACGACCTCTACAAGGAGGATAGATAATATCCTTTTGCAGAACACAAAATATTTTGATTTTTGTGTATCGAAATCATGTTCGGAATGACTCCTAATGGTATTTCAAAGGTTGATCTTGCGATAGCTTTCAATCAAATCCCTTCTTTGCCATTCCCGTGGGAGAGTACGAACATGGGTTCAAAATCACTTTTGAAGATTTAAAAAAAATTTTGATGAAAATATTTACAGTACACACTGCCCATATATTGTCTATAGTTAGTGAAAACTAGAGATACTTTTTTATATTTATAAAAAAAAACGAGTTGATTGTCGTTGAAAGAGAATTTTTTACATGTATATCATGATAAAAGAACATAGATAATTATATTATATTTAGAAGTGAAAAAAAAAACGAAATATCGATCAATATCTAACTGTAATTAAACATATTAAATTGATAATGAATATATCTTGTGTACTGAATAATTTGATCTGTCCAAAGAATAGCGAGTGCATTAATGACAATTGTACTTGTTTGAAATGTTTTACTGGTGAAAATTGTGACATCCATTATAATGTGCTAAGTCTTTCACTGACAAATTCAATGTTAGAAGATACAATTATTGGTCAAAGAATCTATTTGATATTATTCATTCTAATGTCAATAATTGGTCTATTGAATAATTCATTGTCTTTATTTACTTTTGTTCGTGATCGTATTCGTTTAACTTATTGTGGGGTTTATCTTATTGTTATTTGTTCAGGCAATATTATACTTATGTTATTCATTATTCTCAATATACCGGCCTTATTGAACTATGATAATATGCTATATAAAAATTTTCACTGTCATGTTCAATTTTATATATGTTTAAGTCTAAATTATATATTTATTTGGGGTAGTGTAGCAATTGTAGTGGAAAAATTGCTGATTGAATGTTTCAATTATGATGTATACGAACCAAGTATTCGACCAATAATAACATCAATAATAATAATTATCTTTGTGTCAATATCAAATATACCAGAAAAATTTTGTCGAGGATTTGTAAATAGTCCAAATAAACATCAAGTTTGTAGTTATTATTTAAATAGTAATACGATATGGTATCGTATGCATATCGCATCATCTTATGTACATGTTGTTTTACCTTGTCTTGTTCATATAATATCCACAATATGCATATTAACAACAATAGCTCAACGAAAAGTTTTTATATCAATAAATCGATATCCTCAACAATATATTTATCGTGTATGGTTTCGACAACTTTATCTTCATAGAGATTTTTTAATTCCGCCAATATTCATAATAATATGTATACTTCCTCATATTATTGTTCATTATATATTGATAACGAAATGTCTTGATTTTTCAAATATAATTCTAATACGTTTACATATCGTACTTGTTTTATTTCTTAACATTCCTCAAATGTTAACATTTCTTATTTATGTTTATCCAAATGAAATTTATTTTAAGGAATTTATGCAAACACCTATTTATCGTATTATTTGTTTCTCATCATATAAACGACAAATTGAAAATGAAAGACGAGCACGAGCTTCAAGTATAGCTAGCTCACATGCTATGATCAATGATGACTTATGAGAATTTAATTTCTATTTCAAGAAACGATTCAAATATTTATTTTTTTTTGTCAATGTAAAACTTTGACGAACTGATATCTCTATATGATTATATAAAATAAAAACTAAACAAATATTAAAATGAATAATAATAAGATTATTATTTTAAATAGGTTGCTCAATTAATATTTACAATGTCTAATTGATAGAAATATATTTGCTCTTTTGAACTTAATATCCTTGTCTCCTTATAATTTATTTCTACAGTTAAAAAAAAGAAAATATTTTATAGGAATTATTTGAAATATGTTTTTCAGATAATTTTTATTAATAACACGAAACACAAATAAGATTACGTTTGAATTATTAGAAGTTTTTTGTTGATAAATCTACTTAGGGCATATCAAAAGTAGTGACAGTATCACTTAAATACCATATAGTAAACTTAAACAAAACTTTTATTCTATATATCCTGATAGAGAAAGAAAAACTCTATTTTTCTATGCTATTTGATTATATTGCAATTAATATCACAATCATAAAATTTCGATAATACGTCTTTCGTTACCATCTATGGTGGTTGTGTTAATAGTGATGTTAACAAAAATTCATTCATCATTTTTAAATAACTATTAATAAAAATAAGATATAGAAGTGCGATTTTCACCGTTGAAAACGCAGTGAATTCTATGTTGCAGGTTTTTGTTGATCTGTTTTTTGTTAAGTTTTCACAAGCAATCTTTTTTAGAACGACCTTATCTTGGAAGTTATTTACAGTGAATTTTCATATATCAAGTATAAAGTCAAATCATTAATCGAAGATCTACAAAGAGTAGCAGCCTAAGATGAATGGTATGGATTCTAGTCGAGTCTCTTCTATAATTTTGTAGCAAAGTTTGTGAAAAAAAAATCATGTTTGTGCTTTTTCCTTTTTTGCATACAAAAAAATTTTTCAACTTTAGAAAATTTAATATCATATATCTATTAATAAATCTTCATAGAACCATGACACATCCGAACAAGAATAGATCTTATCGAAATCTTATTATGATGATATTTGTTGTTGGATAAGCAAATAGCATAGAACCATAGAGCTTTTCTTTCTCTATCAGACTATGTAAAGAGAGAAAGTTTTTTTTAAGTCAACAATACAGTGTTAAAGTGTCACTGCCACTACTTTTAGTATGCCTGAAGTAATATGGTTCTCTATGAAATTATTAGTAAAAAGTTTCGATCAATGAGTGTGTGAGTTTCTAACATGATAAAGACTCACATCTAACACCTATCCAGTTTTATCAATTGATAAATCATATTCATCATATCACTCATTAACCTTGTAACAATCTATTTACATAGTAAAACATGTTAAAGAAAGTATTTGTTTGTTTTGCTCAAATTTTCATAGATATTATGGTTCAATCGGAACAAAATTCAGTTTGAAAGTATCCGATAGTTTCTACAATATCAATTTTAGTAGAAAAACATCGGCATTTAGTGCAACTTTGTTCTTGGAACTAAAAAAAAAGAATTAAATTGAGTCCTGCAATTTGTTTCGTTTTATCAAAAATTAAAATAAAGCATAATAAATTAAACGAATGTTATATAAAAGGCGAGACTCAAAGAGATTTTTCTGTGTAATATCTATTCATTACTTGAAAATTATTCATGAAAATATGCCAACATGTCTTTCAATGGGGTGGGTGTGGTGTGGGTGTGGGTGTGAGTGGGTGTGGGTGTGGGTGTGAGTGTGGGTGTGAGTGGGTGTGGGTGTGAGTGTGGATGTGAGTGGGTGTGGGTGTGAGTGTGGATGTGAGTGGGTGTGGGTGTGAGTGTGAGTGGGTGTGGGTGTGCAGAAGCTGCCACGACGCGTTTCGACTGTTGCTTAGACAGTCTCATCAGGTGGCTCAGTATCTCTAAGTCGATTACGAATTCGAAAAGGAAATTTTCGAAGACAAATCAATTCGAGATAAAATTACACTGTTATACTAGTAAGTAGAATGGTAATTGACATATACCTGTTCGAGATGAGAAATCTTGAATAAAACAGGGTGTGTATAAGCTACCACGACGCGTTTCGACTGTTGCTTAGACAGTCTCATCAGGTGGCTTAGTATATCTCTAAAACGATTTAAATTTTTCGACAAAAATCGATAAAAATAAATCAATTCGAGACAAATATTACACTGTTCAACATCAAAGTCGAATGGTAAGGGTGTGGATGTGTTTATAGAAGTGACTTAGAAGAAAGTCAATCAAAGTATATAGCTAGTATATCTAAATAAAATGTCGAGTTTCTATACACACCCTATAATTGTCGGATTTTTCTATCCTTGAATTATCGACTGCGGTGTCTTATGTTTCATTTCAACCTTGTTTTCCATTGAAAATGAAATTGATTTTGAAATACTTGTGATCCTACTTCAAATAATTTGATATATGTTTGGTGGGAGTCTTTCAAAACGAAAACTCTTATAAGAACTACCTCTATGTTGAAGTTCAATCGATATGCAGTAATATTTAGATATCAAACTTACCTGATGATGACCCTTAAGCAAGGTCGAAACCGGTCGTAAGTATATCGCTTGTATATCTAAATAAAAAATGTCGAGTTTCTAACACACAACTGGAAAAGAATTCTATCATTACTTTCGAGTAACAGTATAAAATCCCCTCTGTTTCGAATATAATTCGTTACGAGTGCCATCTGAAGAGCCTAGTTGCTTAGGTGAAATATCGATATCATGGTAGCTTAGCACACTCACACCCCACCCACACCCTGAACCTCTGATGTCATGAATCATTATATATTTTTTTTATTCAGAATCTGTTTTTCAAAAGTCGATTTTTAATCTTCATCAGTCCATTGATCTTGTTCACTGGCTCGTTCACGG